TCCTAGCTCCCTCTCCACTCACTGCCTCCCCCACCCCCAACATGCTCAGAAGATCTTGTCCATTCCCCTTCTGTGAGAGAGCTTATATGAATCTTTTAGAATACTCCTTGTATCCTAGTTTCTCTGGCTGTGTGAATTATAGGCTGGTAATCCTTTGTTCTATGTATAAAATCCATATGTCTTTTCCTAGGTGAGTTTTGACCATTAATGTTGATGGAAAGTAAGTATCATTGATTATTAACTCTTGTTTGTTTCAGATTTGTTGTTGGCAGTGGTATTGCAAATATATTTGCCATGCCTTTTCTTTTTCTTTTGGGTTCTGATGAAGTATGATTATCTATTGCCTATGTCTTTGTTAGTGTAGGTAACTTTTTGGTTTGGAGTTTTCCTTCCAGAACTTTCTATAGGGCTAGAATTGTGTATATGTATTTTGAAAATCTGGCTTTGTAATTGAATATCTTGTTTTCTCTGTATATAGTGATTGAGAGTTTTTCTGGGTATAGTAGCATGGGCTGGCATCTGTGAACTCAGTATTAGTAGAGTATCTATCCAGACCTTCTGGCCTTGGGAGTTTCCATATAGATGTCAGTTGTAATTAAAACTCTGTCATTATATGTTACCTGGGCATTTAACTTCTCTTCTATTAATATTCTCTATTTATACTGTAAGTTAGGTGTTTTGATTATTATGTGGAAAGGGGACTTTTTTGTTCTAGTCTATTTGTTGTTCAGTATGCTTCTTGTACTTTCATGTCGTTCTTCAGTTTGGGAAAGTTTTCTTCGATAGTTTTGTTGAATAGGATTTTTCACCTTTGAGCTTGGCTTCTTCACCTTGTTCTATGCCTGTTATTCTTAAGTTTGTCCTTTACACCATGACCCACATTTTCTGAATGTTTTGTGTTAAGGATTTGTTAAATTTAAGATTTTCCTTGGTTGATGAATCTATTTCCTCTAGTTTATCTTCAACACCACAGATTCTCTCTTCCATCTCTTGTATTCTGTTGTTTATGTTGCAGTTCCTGATCATTTACCCAGTTTTTCTCTCCCCCATATTCCCTCAATTTGTGCTTTCTTTATTGTCTCTATTTCAGTTTTCTGATCTTGAATTGTTTGAATTATTTCCTTAATCACTTTGATTGATTTTTCTTGACTTTCCTTGCTTTTTTTTTAAGAGATTTGTTCATTTCTTGCATTTTTTGCTTGTTGTTTTCCTCTATTCCATTTTTATTTGTTTTTTTTCCTTCTATTTCTTTAAGGTATTTTTCTCATATCATCTTTGATGGCCTCTATTGGTGTGAGATGTCATTCTGTAAATATGCTTTTCTTATTGGTTAATGAATAAAGCACTGTTGGCCAATAGGAAAGCAAGATAGGTGAGAATAAGAGACAAGGAAGAGGTAGGGGGAGTTTCAAGATGTAGGACCAACAGGGTAGAACTCCATGCCCTCTCTCCAGTAAGATGAGATCGTGAAGAAATATTTAGATTAATGAAATGGGTTAATGTAGAGAGCCACTGGTGCCATTCCCGAAGATGGTGCCGGTTTCCTGTCCATAAGCCAGCAAGGCGCGGATGTGCGATCCATGTCATGGGATGACCATTACGACCGTTGCAGGCTGCAACTGTCAGTAACGGACACAGCTCCTCTGCAACTGTCAGTAACGGACACAGCTCCTCTATATAAGCAGAGTCCTTTTTCCTCCTCGGGGTCTTCTCTCAACTTGCTGTAATGAGCTGCTCAATAAACATAGCTGCAGAAGAATCCTGTTGTTGAGCGTCGTTCTTGCAGGCAAGGCGATAGCGCTTGACAGGTTAATATTGAAGACAGAGCTAGCCAATAAGTAATGCTAATATCATAGTAACAGCTTTATATACAATACAGTGTCTCTGTGTGTAATTTGGGCTGGCATGGCTGAGGGACCAGGCCAGTAGGCAAACATGCTAATAGCAAAATGGCGTTGCAACACAGAGTTAAGAACTTTCACTTAAAACTTAAAGGGGCTTTAGAAACAAAAGAGCAGTAACAAGCAAGGCTTCCTGGTAGCAGCTTTTTTCTCATATGCGTTCTGTTTTGCTAGAGACAAGCAGAGATTTGCGTGCCACCTTTAAGGGTGGTTTCCTGACTCAGCATTAGCTGCAAAAAACCGAATGACGTTTAAAGAGCTCTGCTAACAACTGAATGGTGTTTACAAGAGTAACAAAGGATACAATGGCAGTAACCACATCTCCAAGCCAACAACATGCTGCTGGATGGCAGCTTAGACCAAGGCAGTGAACACAGCTCTCAGTTCTGGTGGTAAAGGTACCCGCTGCCATCTTTGATAGACCATGGCTAATACAGTTTGGCTTTCATTTTAGCCATGTTGTTTAGCAGATAAAAGACTCATGGCCAGAAAAAAGATAAAGATTTACAGTAAAGACAGATTGATTAAGAAAGCCCTCTAAAGGTTTATAGTATGTTTTAAAATATACATAGGCTTGGGAGAGAAAAAGAAACAGGATAAAATGGTTCAAAAAAGAATAATAAAGAGAGAGTAGCTGGGTGTGGTGGCACACATATTTACTTGCAGCACTAGGGAGACAGAGACAAGCAGATCTATGTGATTTCAAAGTAAACCTGGTATACAGAGTTAAAGCCAGGACAGTCAAAAGTACACAGATAAGCCCTGTTCCAAAAAAAAAAAGAAAATAAAAAATTAAATTGGAGTAATAATAAAGCCACATAAAGATGGAAAGCATAAAAGTATTGTTTGACTGCTGAGGAAATAGCAACAACTGTTAAAATAAATGCTACTGGGTTAATCCAGTTTATACATTTTAAAAAGGCTTTTACTCCAAAGTGTAAGTCTAAAGACAGGTTAATGTGGAAAATGATTTCTTTTATTGTTTCCATAGAAAATGAAAAGCTGTGGATTCCTTCCAGACTACCATGGTTTTTCAAGCATGACCCTTGAAACTTTCCCAGGTGATCCAACATTTGAAAAAGCTTGTACAAGGCACCCTTACAGACCACTACAGCCAGGATTTCTGAGTCTTCTTATGATCACCATGACAATGCCCACTACCAGCAAGAAGCAGTTTGGAAAGAACAACACCCAAATTCCCAAATATAAATAATAAATATTTGTTTTCATTTAAATAGGATTGGTTATAAATGGTTAATGATCACAACCAATCTTCTTTTAAAGGTAAAAAGGGGATTATGGTATAGATATGAATACATTGTTTCAAAATAGATTTTCATTTATTGATACAAATTTAAGGTCAATTTTGTGATACTTATATTTTTCCTCTTGTTTAGGTATTGTGTTTATATAGCTCATTTAAAAAATGTAATGTATAATTTAGTACAGATTATAGTTACCTATAATAGTCTAAACTTATAGTTAAGGAAATAAGTATTCCTAGATATACAGAGATGTCTTTGAGATGCATGGGTATTTTTCAAATCTTTCAAGGACCTATAGAATATGGCATTTACAGTGGTTTAGGGTTTTTCTTAACAGTGAGGCACAACTGCTCTTGGCAACACCATCCTGCATCAGAAAGTAAGAAAGAAAGTAAGAAAGAAATAAAGAAACTCATTATGGAGTCTGTCTGCAATATGGCAAGACTAGCCATTTGGGCCAGATACTGCTCTTGTCTGGACTGTTTGACTTTATGCTGTATAAACTGGACATGTAGGACCCACAGGAAGGTGACTGCTGATACAAGATGGACATTGCTACAGAGTTTCTGCTTCATGGAAGAGTCTGCCAGACTTTCTGCAGGACACAGAGCAAAGTGACGGACAAATTGCCAATACAGGTTGACAGATTAAACTTACCTGGTTTGCTAAGGAGTCTGCCAAACACACTATGGCCTATGGGCTGAAGATGAAACATTACAGAAGAACTTCAGGTGCCTGACCAGGTGAATTGTCACTGCCAATTTTAGAGTTATATATTAACCTTCTATGGTCTTTGAAGGAGTTGAAGACAGATAGTTATGGTTATAGTTTTCCTTAGTTAGTATTAAAGATAAGTTACATATAGGACTTTCGATTCACATAGATAAGATAGATAATAAAATGATTTCTCTAACGCATGCTAAATGATAATGGACTAAATATTCATTAACTATAGTTCTTATTTGATAATTGTTTTGTTATACATTTTGCTGTGTTTAGGTTAAACCCCTTCTTTTTATTTTAGGCAGAAAAGAGGAGATGATGGGTGATGTCATTCTGTAAATATGTTTCCCTTCTTGGTTAATGAGTAAAACATTATTGGCCAATAAGAAAGCAAGATAGGCAGGAATAATCAACAAGGAGGAGCTAGGAGGTTTTTCACATATAGGACCAACAGGGTAGAACTCTGGGCCCTCTCTCCGGTAAAATGACACTACGTGGAAATACTTAGATTAATTAAATGGGTTAATATTGAAGACAGAGCTAGCCAGCAAGTAATGCTAGTAACTTGCTAACAGCTTTAAATCTAATACAGTGTCTCTGTGTGTTATTTGGGGCTGGCGTGGCTGAGGGACCAGGCCAGTGGAAAAACATGCTTGTAACACTCTATCATTTTTATGAAGTTGATTTTTAAGTCATTTTCTTCTGCTTCATCTTCATCTACTTTGTTGTGTTCAGGCCTAATTGGTATAGATTCCCTAGATTCTGGTGGTGTCATGCTTGTCTTTCAATTGTTTGGTGTTTTCTTGTATTGCTGTTGTTCCCATAGCTTCTTCCAGTGGATGCAGGTGGAGTCTCTCTCTCTCTCTCTCTCTCTCTCTCTCTCTCTCTATATATATATATATATATATATATATATATATATATATATAATCTTTCTAATTCACCTACTTTTCTGGTGGGCGTAGGGGGGCCAGGAGTTTGATGTCTTCAACTGTGTATGATCCAAGTCTCTTGGAGGTCTTTCTTCTGGCAAATGGCTGGCAACAGGGTCCAAAGATCAGGTGAGTGTAACCTCAGTGTGATCCTGCATGAATAGATGGGTCCATTGTGCTCAGGCAGACCCAGGAAGTTCCACAGAGCTGGAGGGGATGTTGAACCAGCACTCTGGCCTACTGCTCACCCGGAACATCGGGCCAAGCAAGACCAAGTGTGAGGGGAAGGCCCTGTTATGTCTTAACTTGGGCTTTATGGACACTGTGCTCCCCCTGCTGACTTTGGTACCGGAAAGGAGGTTTATGTCTGGGCTCACACTGGAAACTCCTCAATGTGTCTCTTGCACAGTAATATGTGGCCGTATCCTCAGTTCTCAGGTAGTTCATTTGCAGGTAGACCATGCTTTGGGAATCATCTCTGGAGATGGTGAATCTGCCTTTCACCGAATCTGCATAATAGGCTGCGTAATTATTGGGTTTAGTTCTTATGCGAGCAACCCACTCCAGTCCCTTCCCTGGAGCCTGGCGGACCCAGTACATGGCATAGTCCATGAAAGTGAATCCAGAGGCTGCACAGGAGAGTTTCAATGACCCCTCAGGCTTCACTAATCCTCCACCGGACTCAACCAGCTGCACCTCACAGTGGACACCTGCAAACACAGAGGATCCTGATGTAGATTCTGTCACAAAAGTCTGTAGATTTTTTCTCTCATATCTACTAACACACTCACTATCCCTTATTACCTACCTTTTAAAAGAGCAACAAAGAAAACCCAGTGCAACCCCAACTCCATGTTGAACATCATGTATTCAGGGCTGACCACTGAATGGGAAGACAGGGCTAGAGTCCTATGACTGACCTACAGGGTAAGGGCAAGACTGGTTTTATTGAGCAGAGGGGGGTCATATTTGCATATCTTCCTGATATATATTATTTTCTGGTCTGTGTGAATCTTAGTGGCAGCAGGTAATGGTGCGCATATGTTGGCGAGAAAATGAAGTAATGAGGACATGATTTTATTTAAATGTTAATCATTGTGTATTTGTAAAATGCTTTGACACTCTTAATATTTTTTTACATTCTCTATTTACTGATTATCTTTCCAGAGAGTATACAGTAAGTTAATAGAAGTTTAGAAATTAAAAATTACAATTTGATAATGTTAGGGAAACTAACTTAAAGATAAATAAATGGTTAAGTATAAATTAAATTACTGTAATGAAACTGGGCTGGGGACAGCATGGGAGAAAGATTAACATGAACAAAGATTCAAGTTTTATTCTCATAATAAATATATGTATTAAATAAACAATAATAGTGGAGATGCTATTTCTTGAGATATACTAAACGCACAACAATCTGATTTTACATATATGTCACATGTTTGTGTATGGGGTATGTTAATTAATATCTTTGGCAATTGTGACATTAATTTTCCTCAAACTATAATTAGACTGCTTGTGTGTGGTTACCACAGGAAGGAGAAGATTCTGTTATCTGATTGTTCATGTCATGGCTTTATATTTTCCCATTTCTCCATTCCACCTGGGGATGCAGGACTTTATGGTTGGTTGTGGGATCAGTCTCAAGAGGCTCCTTGGTACAGCCAATCCTGTATTAAAACTGAGAGTTGGGAAGCAATTGTTTAATTGATTAATTAATTAAACTATTGGGGAAAGGTTGTTATGGCTAATAGTTCTTATGGGCTATGACATTATTGTTTCTGTGGCACTTGCAGCAAAGTGACTTTATTTAAAGCCACTAAATGCATCAAGCTGTCGTTCTGAAGTCACATCTGCTGAGGTCTTTGATGACCAATTCATTTCCCTAACAGGTTTCAAGTATTTAATGTGGTTGGACACTCCAAACAGATGCAGTGATTTCCCTCGCTGTTCAGCCTTTGTATCTGCTCCAACACTTCATCACAAAGCAAGGCTCAACAGCAACAAAAAATTACAATAACTCTCTGTGATCTATCAGACCACTATGGATTAAGTTTTGATAGTCACATCAGCAGAAAATCATAAAGCCCACAAACTCATGGAAACCAAACAACTTCCTACTGAATGACTGCTGGCTCAAGGCAGAAATAAAGAAAGAAATGAAAGACCTCCTAGTATCCAATGACAATGAAACCACAACATATCCAAACTTGTGGAACACTACAAAAGGAGTGATAAGAGGAAAGTTCATAGCACTACTTGCCTGTATAAAGAAATTAGAGAATTTTCACTCAACAAACTTAACAATGAAACTAAAAGCTCTTAATTTGTCTTTTGCCTATATATCATGGTTGCAGAGTTGTGTTTTTGGATTTTGTGTGTGAGGGTTTCTAACAGTATTTACTGTTTTATTTTATTTGGTGTTAATCCCTTTCCATATATATATATATATATGGAATATATATGTATATATATATACATATATATATATATGCTGAATAGAGAAACACAGTGTGTAGATTTGGGTACAAGCAGACACATGAAAGAAAGATCTGTGAGGTATAGGGAAAGGGGATCAGGGCTCAGAATACATTGTACAAAGTTTTTCAAAAAAAATGTCATTGTAAATGAAAACTGAATAAAATGAACAAGAAAATATAAACCCATAAAAAGTTTAGCAGAGACTTTTTACTGTGTTTGAGCATGGAAACATCACATGCCAACAACAGCAGGTGCAGGTCAACGGGTAGACTCAAGAAAGGAAACCACAGAGGATACAGAGTTCCCTCCATACCAATCTCATTTCCCTACTGGGGATTCTTGGTTCCATTGTGCCCCTGCTGGTGCTGCTCACCCCTGCAGATTTGTTTGTCATGGCTTGCACTGAGGTTGTACTGTCTGCCTTAAACAGTATATCTCTGTACCTTCAGTGCTCATAGAGCCCAGCTACATGGGTAAATGGCGCTTGTTTACAAGGAGATTCTGACTGATTCTTGAGAAACTGATTTTAAGTTGTGACTATATGGTCACCAATGTCCCTCTCATGCCAGGCTCTTGTCTGGTGGTTCCAGTCCTATCAGTTCCCACATGTGTTAGAGACGTTAGGAGGGAACAGTATGAACTGTGACTCGATATGTTTCTCATTCATACTGCCACCAGTATCAATAAAATGTGGCATATCAAATTTCAGGAAGACAAATCACCCCCCTTGAATTTTTCTGGGCAAGGAGACACGACATGGCAAGAAGAGTCCCAAAAGCCTGTAAAAGATTTTGAGACAGACCCTGCTCCCACTGTAGGAGTTATTTCCTTACAGGCTCCGAGATTGCCAGTTTTGGCACTGTGAGCACCTGTGATCCCAGGTTAGTTGACTCTGAGTTTTCTTGTTGTGTCTTTGACACCTCTGGCTCCTACATTTCTTTCTCCCCTTCTGTGGTGTTCTCAGTGGGTCTGTATCTGTCTCCATAGTTCCTGGATGAAGCATCTCTGAGATCAGGTGGGCTATGCACCAGCATATAAATTTTGCAGAATTTTAATGCAACATACAGTTGCATAGGTTTGAGGAATATGCACAGTTACCGAAAGGTATTACTAAGATGGTAACATTCATCAATTCATAGCATGCAGATTTCTTAGGGAGAGAAAATCCTGAGGTTCATGAGCTTCCCCATCAGCTGATCCCAGTGAACACAAAGAATCACTTTTGCCCACTTAGACACTTTCTGCATTTTGTTCAGGTGGGACTAGGTGACATAGGAATTCAGAGACTGAATCAACACAAAATTTGTTTATTTTTTAGACATGTGATCAATCCTAGAGTCTGTAATTATAAACAATATACCCACTAAATCAGCAAATAGAGAGCCCAGATTACATAGAAAAAAAAAAAATCCTGAATTATGTCTGCACCAGGGCTTTATGATGCGCGCCCCCTGTTGGTCATGGGAACCTGGAAGAGGGCACACACTAAAGACTGCTCACTGTGTTGCTTGTATAGTAATACGTGGCCATGTCCTCAGTTCTCAGGTTGTTTATTTGCAGGTAGACAATTCTCTGGCAATCATCTCTGAAGATGGTGAATCTGCCTTTCACCAAAGCCGTGTAATAGGCTTCATAATTATTAGGTTCAGTGCTTATGTGAGCAACCCATTCCAGCTCTTTTCCTGGACTCTGGCGGACCCAGTGCCAGGCAGAGTCTGTGAGTGAATCCAAAGGCTGTACAGGAGAGTTTAAATGACCCTAATCCTCCTCCAGACTCAACCAGCTGCACCTCACAGTGGACACCTGCAAACACAGAGGATCCTGATCAAGAAACTGTCATACATGTCTACTTTCTCTCCCATTATTGTATACTCACTCACTCAGTATAATTTTTACCCATATCTTACCTTTTTAAAAGAGCAACAAAGAAAGCCCAGTGCAGCCCCAAACCCTTGTTGAAAGTCATGTTTTCAGTTCTGGTCACTGAATGGAAAGACAGATCTAGAGTCCTCTGCCTGACCTGCAGGATCAGGCCATGGCAAGGCTGGTTTTATAAGCAGAGGGCAGCCTCATTTGCATATCACCTCTGCATATCTTATTCTCTGGTGTATGTGAAACTTAGAGGCAGCAGGTAATGGTGCAAATGTCTGAGATAAAAGGAAGAGTAAGGATATGATTTCATTAAAATGTTATTCATTGTGTATTTGTAAAAAGCTTTGACATTCTTGATATGTTTTACATTCACTCTTTACTGATTATCTATTCAGATAGTATACCTTAAGTTCATTTAAGTTTAAAAATTTTAAAAATTTTAAATTACAATTTGATAATTCAAGGGGTAATAATGTATAGATCAATGTGTAGTATACATTAAATAACTGTAATGAAACTGGGCTGGGGACAACATGAGGGAAAGTTTCACATGAACAAGGACCTAAGTTTTATCCTATATATATATATATATATATATATATATATATATATTCAATACACATGTTACATAAACAATAGTAGTACAAAGACTTCTCCTTGAAAAATACTAAGCACATCATGAAATGCTTTATGCATGTGTCACATGTTTGTGTTTGGGGTGTGTTAGTTAACATCTTTGGCAGTTGTGCCGTTCATTTTCCTCAAACTAAACACAGGTTGCTTGTCTGTGGTTACCACAGGAAGGAGAGGAGTCTGTTACCAGGTCTGCAGTGCCATGGTTTTATGTCTTTCCATCATTCCAGTTCCCCCTGAGGATGTAGGACTTCCATGGTAGCAGTGGGATCAGTCTCAAGAGACCCCTCGGAATAGTCATTACTATATTAGAAAGGAGAGGGGAAAGTAATTAATTAATTAATTAATTAAGCTGTTGGAGATACTTTGTTACCTCTGAGAGTTCTTTTGAACTTAAGTATTATTGTATTTTGGGCACTGGCAGGAAAGTGACTTCATTTAAACCAACTAAATGCAGTGAGCTGATGTTCTGAATTGACCCCTACTTTGAGTCCTTTGATGACCAAATCATTTCTCTTACTTTTTCACTTATTTAGCACTATCATATGTGGGTAAGATAAAGATAGAAACTCTGGATGGATGCAATGAACTCCCTTGTCCTTTCCATTTTTCACTTATTCCTTAGGGATCTGAATGGCTGAGATATGACCATCACCTGCTGGTCCGTGCTCCATATTCTTTAGTTTAATCTGTTATGGGTAATATTTCTGATTCACAGTATAGCTGATTGATACACTCAAGTCTAGAATGTGGATATTAGACTCTGTTGCATTGTCTTTGTTTATTTCTATGCCCCTTTCACAGTTAGGTGTCAATTCAGTGGGTTTATTCCCAAAAGAATTTCTGGAGAACACTCATGCACAGC